TCTGTCCATTGCTGGAGCCGATCCCAGCTGTCATTGGGCGAGAGGCGGGGTTACACTCTGGACTGTTCACCAGCCAATCACAGAGCTGACATATAGAGACAGCCAACCAGACACACTCACATTCACACCTACAGACAATTCAGAGTCAGCAGTTAACCTAACGAGCATGTCTTTGGACTGTGGGAGGAAGCCGGAGAACACACACATGCACGGGGAGAACATGCAGACTCCACACAGAGAGACTCCTGTCAGACGGGGATTCAAACCAGGAACCTCCTTGCTGAGAGGGGACAGCGCTAACCACTGCAGCACTGTGCATGACACCAAAAACTGCCAATATTTTCAACTTTATTGTCCGTCTAAATGAATGCCAAACTCAGCAGTTGAACCTTTAAAGAGATTTAACCCCACAGTGCTCTCCTCTCTTATCTCTCTGTTACTTATTAAACTGTCTTTGATTATTCTACAGCTCCTCCAGGTCAAAGTGCTTTTACACCGCGGGCCACACCTACACATTCACACACTGATGGTAGAGGCTGCTGTCAACTAATCCATTCATACACATTCATGTGCCGCCGATGAAGCAGCAGGAGCAACTTGGGGTTAAGTGTCTTGCCCGAGGACACATCGGACATATGGCTGCAGGAGCTGGGGATCAAACCCCCAACTTTCCAGTTGAGAGTTAGTTTGGTTAGATCACAGAAAGATCCTTGGCATGGTTAAACGATATTCCTGCCTCGGGGTGAATGCACTCTTCCAATAAAAATCAAGTTGATGCATCATGACAGGAAGCTTTGGCTGTGTTTGGATGTGCAAAAAATATATGCATAATACAAAAGACTTCCAGGATCAGAAGCAGGTTGAGCCGTGTGGAAACATGCACAAAGTTCCATCAGCTCCATGTGTTCATTAGTGTGTGTGTGTTTGTGTGTTATCCCATTCAAAGGAAAAGGGCAGCGGAGATAAAGTGAAGGACGAAGAGAAACCTTTTCAGAGTGTGTCTGTCTGCAGCGCCGGGCAGCTGAGTCACAGCGGAGGGAGAGACACATCAACGCGTCCTCTGCTGCACACTGACAACATGTTATTAAAATCAAATCAAATGCGCGCAACCAAAAAAAATTGAAAATATCAAGACTGAATGAACCGCCCCTTTACTTCCCCCCCCCCTCTCTCTCTCTCTCTCTGTGCAGCTGAGATAAAAGTCATTACAGAGAATGTATTTTCCTCCTGAAAGCAGGGGACTGATATCAGAGCAGGTCTGTGTTTAGAAATGAGGTGAAACATGCAGATGTGTATGATAGAAGGGGCTGCATTAATAACTATCCAGAGTCGACTACTGTTAACTGAGGTTCAGAGTTCAATTAAAGGTCACATATCATCCTCCTCTTCTTCAGTGTAAATAAGTCTCAGAGCTCCTCAAAACATGTGTGTGAAGTTTCTTGTTCTAAATCCACTCTGATCCTGTATTTGATCATGTCTATAAACCCCTCTATTTCAGCCCTGCTCAGAACAGGCTGTTTCTGTGTCTGTACCTTTAAATATGTAAATGAGCGGTGTCTGACCACGCCCCCTCTCTGGAAGGGCTTGGGTGTACTTGGTCTTTCTCGCTCCATGTCCTATTGTTTACAGTGAGAAGGCAGACTCAGAGGGGCAGGCAAAAGACGGAGAGGATGGACGGCAAAGGACGGAGAGGATGGACTTTTCTCATCATTGGGGGGTTTGTAGACGGACTAGAGACACATGTTAGAGTTTGAACAACATGATGAAGTGTATTTTGAATAATATGTGACCTTTAAACTCAACCAAACGAATACATTCAGAAATGGTAAGCAATCGATTTTGGTGTAAGAGTCTGCTGGCAAAGAATTGTCTTTTGGGGCACTGTTCCTCGAGGCAGATGGCCTGGGTTCAAGTCCGACCTGTGGCTCCCTTCCCCCATGTCATTCCCCACTCCTCCCTCCCTCCCTGATGTTTCCCGCTCTATCCACTGTCCTATCAAAATAAAGGCAAAAAGACTTAAAAATTAATCTCTAAGGTAGTAGTGTGCGACTGAGTTTGGTGCTGACCTCGTTGTCCCGGTCCTTCTCCAGGAAGTGTCGGGCCACGTGGCTGGGCAGGATGTTCCTCAGCATGTTCTCGTTGTGTTCTCGAAGCTCCTTCATCTCGTTGATCTCCTCTTTGGCCTGAACGCGCCACAGGAAGTCCAGCCGGGCCGTGTACTCCAGCTGCGGACAGGATGGAACACCAAAAAGTTACAACACAAGGTAGTCAAAGTTGAATGAACCTCTTTCAAATATCTTCAAAACCTTCAAACCGACACCAATTCACGTAAACAACCATATCTAGATAAGAGATCGCCAACAGTCAACAACCTCAGGAAATCATTTACAAAAAGACATCTTTGGACGTCATTAATGAGCTGTTGGGTTGTTGCCTTACTCGAGGGCGCCCCTGCAGTACTCAGGAAGTGACCTGGCACCTCTCCAGCAACAAGACCAACTTCCATATTTTGGTCCGCACTTGGACTTGAACCCAAGTCCCTACAGACTGAGCGACTGCAGCGATGTGCAAACAATGATGAACCTTATAACTGAAGCTCCATTTCTCAAACAAAAGACGCTCTAAACTCGATCGGACTTTATAATAATTGATGTTTTCGAGGATTTCATGCGGAGCTTTCAGGGGCTTTAAAATGATATTTTGTTCTGCTGACAAATCTGCAGGAGCTCAACACACACATCAACTCTTTGATTTGAGACCCTGAAAACTGCCAAAATAAAGCTGAGACAGATTAGGATTATTCAGAAACATTCTGTTTTACCATCTCCAAATATTTGTTGCTACTTCTCAAGTTCCTGAAAAAACGGAAAATCTCCACTCCTCTTCTCCTCACGATGTTTCAGGCCGAGAGGTTAGACTTTGTTCATCACTCAGAAATGTATAAGGTGAGGTGAAAGTCTGTCGTTTGAATGAGCTGGGGTTCTTTAGTGAACAGCTTAATGAAACAATTTGTCAAGAGTTATAGAAACACGAGAGTGAGATCAATCTGAAGAGCAACACCTATCACTTTAGTGTATGTACAATCAAAGCAAAGTCACCTGAACACATCAGAGCCAATGAAAAGTGTAACGTTTAGTCTGTAGAAAAGGGGTGGGGGGCAGGGGATAAATCTGAGATATTGAAAATAAATTTCGGGGACGACGGCCTTTTAGGATTGAAGCAATCGGTGAAACCTTTTTTTGAATGATTAATCCTGGTATCAATTAGTCCTTTAATCATTTGAGTGAATACAAAACTGCAATTTAATTTTCCTTTTCTAATTAAGAAATCCTGCAGGGCTGCTTCAGAGGGAGAAATAATGAGACTGTGGGTGGTGCAATATGAGAAGTTTAACTAACACGACGTCCTCGCTGCAAATCCTCATGACGCTTCGATTAAAAAGGAGCTTCTGGAAACCCTCAGAGAAACACAGGACACAATTCTTAATAGGTCAAGCTGCATGTTGTCATCTCTCTCACTGTATGATTGGGTGACTTCATTCTGTTCTTATATTAAACTCTTACAGGTTACAGGTTAGAGGCAGGACAATCGTTAAATCATAAACATTAGAAACATTCCCAAAGGGACCAAACAGCATGAGATTAACACATATTGTAAATTTTAAAGCAGGACGATTGTGACTAAACTAAATGAGCATGTATTAACTTGTCCAGTTTTTACAGACTCATTCAGTCATCACAGTCTACAAGTTAGCTGCAGAGCCTGATCATCTGGTGCATTCAGGCCCTGTGGGGATTCAGAGCTGTGACAATGAACTCATACGTTGAATTTGTTGTATCTAAAATACACCTGTTACTCTAAATGATGTTCAAAAAGACTTAAAGGAGTGTATTAAAATGATCATCATTTAAGCAGACTGAATTTTAAGGACTACAGAAGAGCTTATTTCAGAAACAAGAAAGACCTTCTCCAAACCCTCCGATTCAAAGAAGAGTTCATCTTGTAAAATCTGAAATGAGAAGTGTTTTTAAAAGAGAAATGTTCTCTGTTGTAAACAAGTCTCTCTCTCTCAAACCGCTACTCTTCCTGGAATGAAGCACAGCTTGTTAACCCCTCCCTCTTCTTCCTGCTCTCAAACACAGCCAGTCCTACTGTGACCTCTGTCTTTAAGAGCGACTGGAACAAACAGAATTCCACCTGGGATTAATAAAGTGTTTCTGATTCTGATTCTGAGCGTGTCTGACCCTGACCCTGACTGGTGGATGATTCCAAAGGAGAGGGTCCTGATATCATACCACTTGCTTGGACTCCTCAGATATTAGGACCACGTAAGGCCTGAGGGTGGTGACAGCTATGATTTCCGGGAACCTCAGCCGTCTCCACGGTAACCACGAGCCACCAGTCTCTCGTTCATGCACTGTTTTTTAATCCAGGAAAAGATGTTAAACTTTTATTATTAGTCAATATTTAAGTTTGCACTGAGTTAGAAAAAATGCTGCTCCGCTGTCAGAAGCCTGGTCAATGTCTGTGATTGGTCAAATGCTGCAAACTCCGCCCATTTATGTGAAGGCTGTCATGGAAACACTCTGTTTATGTATTTCTCTGTTTTACTTTTTTACTGATTGTTGTTTATGAGACACACCCTGTCTCTTTAAAAAGCTGTTCTTTGTGTAACGCAGTCAAACCTGAACATCCATCCTTCTGTCAGTGATCTCTACCCGATGAAACTATTTCCCTCTTCCCTCCCCGTCACACACCTGCAGGTATGAGGATGGGTGTGAACTATATACTGTGAATAACTGGAGCTGAAAAACCTCATTCAGTGCAGCAAGTCAACAAGAGCAGACGTTTGTTGTCCATCAGAGCTCTGAATGTGTTTCTATCCAGAGAAAGAGGAACTGTTTGTTCGTCACGATCACTGAGAGGAGAAATGGCTCAGCGAGGAAACCAACTGGACCGAGAGACAATCTGCTGTCCCATCTGTCTGGATCTCCTGAAGGATCCGGTGACTACTTCCTGTGGACACAGCTACTGCATGAAGTGTATTAAAAGCCACTGGGATACAGAGGATGAGAAGAGAGTCTACAGCTGCCCTCAGTGCAGACAGGACTTCATACCGAGGCCTGTCCTGAGGAAAAACACCATGTTAGCAGATTTAGTGGAGGAGCTGAAGAAGACTGGACTCCAAGCTGCTCCTGCTGATCACTGCTATGCTGGATCTGAAGATGTGGCCTGTGATGTCTGCACCGGGAGAAAACTAAAAGCCTGTAAATCCTGTCTGCAGTGTCTGGCCTCTTACTGTGAGAAACATCTTCAAACTCATTTAGAAGCAGCTCCATTAAAGATACACAAGCTGGTGGAGCCCTCCAAGAAGCTCCAGGAGAACGTCTGCTCTCGTCATGATGAGGCGATGAAGATGTTCTGTCGTACTGATCAGCAGTCTATCTGTTATCTCTGCTCTGTGGACGAACACAAAGGTCATGACACAGTCTCAGCTGCAGCAGAAAGGAGCGAGAGGCAGAGAGAGCTCGAGGTGAGTCAACAAAACATCCAGCAGAGAATCCAGGACAGAGAGAAAGATGTGAAGCTGCTCCAACAGGAGGTGGAGGCTATCAATGGCTCCGCTGATAAAACAGTGGGGAACAGTGAGAAGATGTTCACTGAGCTGATCCGTCTCATGGAGAAAAGACGCTCTGATGTGAAGCAGCAGGTCAGATCCAAGCAGCAAACTGAAGTGAGTCGAGTCAGAGAGCTTCAGGAGAAGCTGGAGCAGGAGATCACTGAGCTGAAGAGGAGAGACGCTGAACTGGAGAAGCTCTCACACACAGAAGATCACAACCAGTTTCTACATGACTACCCCTCACTGTCACCACTCAGTAAATCTACACACTCATCCAGCATCAAGATCCGTCCTCTGAGGTTCTTTGAGGATGTGACAGCAGCTGTGTCAGAAGTCAGAGATAAACTACAGGACGTCCTGAGAAAGAAATGGACAAACATCTCACAGACAGTGACTGAAGTGGATGTTTTACTGTCAGAACCAGAGCCCAAGACCAGAGCTGAGTTCTTAAAGTATTCTTCTGACATCACACTGGATCTAAACACAGCAAACTCACTGCTGTTATTATCTGATGGGAACAGAAAAGTAACAGCAATGAGAGAACAACAGTCTTATTCTAGTCACCCAGACAGATTCACTGATTGTTGGCAGGTCCTGAGTAAAGAGAGTCTGACTGGTCGTTGTTACTGGGAGGTGGAGAGGAGAGGAGACGGAGTTTCTGTAGCAGTCACATACAAGAATATCAGCAGAGCAGGGGGCTCAGATGAATGTTTGTTTGGAGGTAATGACAAATCTTGGATGTTAGATTGTTACCACAATGGATATAACTTTTGTTACAACAAAGTCATCACTCCTGTCTCAGGTCCTCAGTCCTCCAAAGTAGGAGTGTACCTGGATCACAGAGCAGGTATTCTGTCCTTCTACAGCATCTCTAAAACCATGACTCTCCTCCACAGAGTCCAGACCACATTCACTCAGCCTCTACATGCTGGACTCGGGTTAGATTATTATGTTGGAGTCTCTGCTGAGTTGTGTAAACTGAAATAGACAGAAGTCATTAACGAGACAGATGTTTAACTTGCTGTGTTTTAAATCTTCAACTTGATTTTTATTCATGCTCGTTGCTGACATCTGATCGTCGTCACCTGTCAATCAAACTTCATGGGCGGTACTTTGACCTCTTCTCGTCTGTTCTGTAAATGTTTGAGTGTCTTTAAGTGACACTACTTCCTGTGTCTGTTTAGCCGTGGACTCTTTCACTGCTCAGGATGACTTTTGTTCACCTGAACTGACATTTCTCTGCATGAAAATATCAACTTCTCTCCGCTCTCCATGTTTGATTATTTATATTCATATGTTTATATGCTGTTATTAAATCAACCTCTACTTTAAATGTTGTGTGTGCCTTTTTATGTTCCTTTTCTTTATTTGAAAAACGTATTCAGCAATTTATGTACACATTATATTCAGTTTTTTAGCAACGCATTCTTATAAGTAAATGTCTGGAATGATGATTGTGTATGACGTTTGCAATAAAGTGATTAAAAAAAAAGAGAGAAACCCCTTATTTCAAAATAAGAGCCTTATCTGCAGAGTTGTAAAAGCTTCATCTTCACAGAGTTGATGATGTCATCACTGCTGAGTAGGGATGTAAAGATTAATCGTGAGGCGTTTTTTTTTTACCAGAA